CTTTGAATTTTAATTTGTTACCAGGCGTGGAAGGGAAACTAATGAAACAAAGGGAAGGGCAGCATTTGATTGGGCTTCTGCCTTCCTCTGTTCTTCTTTGGCTCATCCAACTCATCATTGTTTCTACAAGTATCCAAGGCTTCTGTAAGATTCTTCTGTTTTTTTTAAGGTCAACCTAGCTAAAAAGTTAACTTTTCAGGACTTTGTGTCATGCATGAAGGAGCAGGTTCAGTATCATGGCACATACAAACAAATGTTAACTCTTGCTCATCTCCAGCTCAGTGCTGTCCCTCCTCCCTGAAAAGCTGTTCTTGAGAACTTTTAGAAGATTGACAGAAGTAGCAAAAAGGCAAGGTATGTATTACTTGTGCTTCTTCCCCATGTCACCCATGCTGAGAGGGAAGATTCATACATCCCCAGTGAGGTAATGCCTCTTCTTTCCTGACCTTCTCCCACCATATTAATCCAGGGAAATTTTTTAGAGTACTAGTTGGGACCCAGCTGTGCAATTGCTTCTTTTGTCAATTGCTCCTCCAAGAAGAAATGCCTATGCTACAATGAATGAGGAATCAAGGGTAAAATCTACCCTACCAATAGGATGCTGCTTTCCTAAAGGTCATTTGTACACAGTCCTGATTGGAAGAATGTCCACAGAATACCATGTCTTCCAAGAAAAACTAAAAGTTTAAAGGTTTTCCCAGTCCAGTCATGACCAATTCAAGGCAGTGGGACTCATTTCTGATACTTAGCTGAGGGGGTGTTTCCCTGAGAGGTGTTTCCGTCATCATGTAGTCAATATGAAAATACAGAATGCTGTAAGCTTCCCACCAAAGTGGTACCTATTTATCTACTTGCATAGTTTGGTGCTAGTTTGGTGAGTAACAGGAGTGAGTGACAGGAGTTAACCTTGTTGCATGGCACTTGGGTCTTGAACCCAAGCCATTGACTTTTCCAGTATCTTAACCACTGAACCATCATGCCCCTCCAAGAAAAAAGCCCATGTGAGCCCAATTTAAGTACCAGGATTACAAAGCAAGTTAGGACTGGAGGTTAAAGCATCAGGTTGGAAACCAGGAGATTGTGAGTATTAGTCCCATCTTAGGCATGAAAGCCAGCTAGGTGATTTTGAGCCAGTTACATTCTCTGAGCCTAACACACCTCACAAGGTAATCATTGTAGGGAAAATAGGAGGAGGAAAGGTATGTTTGCTGCCTTGAGATATTCATACAGATAATAAAGGCAGGATTAAAAAAATCTTTTAAAAGTGTAGAAACTTGAACCTTAATTAAAATAGGCAGCTAGTAACCAGCTTGCTTATATTGAAAAATATATTTAAAGTCCGAGTTTATTATCCAGATTTTCTCATTATATATACCAATAGATACGTAAAGAAATAATGCCACCGTATCATCCTATAATATGCTCCAAACCACAAACCACTAACAGCAGCCACTGATTTCTCTAGGGATCTTACTGGGTTCATGCTGCTAATGGTATGGAAACAGAGTGGGTGGGATCGAGATCCAGTATGGAAATAAGGGGGAATTAGGCTCTTGGGAAGATTTAATCTTATGTAAGCAAAGCACAAAATCCCCATCCGAGGTTATTTGCTGCTTCTGCAATAAAAAGCCATTTCAATCAAATTGGGGTGGTAAATGTCACTTTAAATTAAATAACCTAGTTTACCAGTGATGAAAAATAGTCAGGACAAAACTCCTAACTGGGACAAGTTGCTCTTTAGAGCAGAGCAAAGCTTTCGTTGATAGGATAAAAAGCAGCTGTCTTCATAAAAGCTAATAAAATACTCTGGGGATAATTAAATTTTTAATTAAAAATGTAAAATCCAAATAGCATTTTATGACAGCAAGGAAACTTGTTTTGACATCCAGAATTGCTGCCTAAGCTGGATATCCCTTACGTTTTCTCCAGGCTATTGGGAAGCTGGCATTCTGCTCGGAACCTTCTTCTACTCCATCCAAAAATGACAGTTCTTAGTAAGTTTTAAAGGGTAACAGGGGCATTTCCTTTACAGCTACATTCAAACTATTAACCAAGTGTAACAGCCGGCTTGTTTGTATGCCAATTTTTGCAGGTTGTTTGCCCTAAATATACAAAAGAGAAATAAATCAGCTTGAAGGAGTATAATATGGCCAGGCTAATGCATATACCGGGAGCAAAAGTAGACATGTATTCTATTTAAGCCAATGCTGGGTGCCTGGGATTGGCATGTTGCCACAAGAGGAATTAAAGCTGCTGAGTAGCTAAATTAGCTTGTGGAACATTTCCCTAACAGCTTGTCCATATGTGACAAAACTTGCCTCTCTCGTAAGCAAATTTGCCCTTTGCCACTTTCAAGGGTTTTTTTTTTCCCCTCTGAAGTCTCCACTCAGAGAAAGATGGGCAGCAGGACTCTTGCTTACTGAACCCTCAGACCCATCTGTCATTTGTGGCATTTTGAAAGGTATGCCTAGATAAATGGGCTTCAACCAGTTTAAGAAGCCACGTCTAAGTAAAGAATCTATTACTGATTGCCTGCCTTGATGGAGCCAAGAAATGGTCTTTTTGGTAGCCCAATCAAAACTGAGAAAGCAAGAGAAAATAGCAGCAAAAAGAGAAATGTGGAGAAACTTGACTCTTGCTCTTCTTACACTTATTCTTCAAAGTGTAACTAGTATCTCAAAGGCAACTTCCAATGATACCAATGGAAGCAATCACTTGAAGTACAGTTAGATATTTGACCAGTTCCTGTGAGGGAAGAACTGATTGACTCAATCTGCCATCAAGCATCTCTAAACAGTTAAGCTTCTACAGCAGGGGTGTCCAACCTTGGCAACTTTAAAACTTGTGGACTTCAACTTCCAGAATTCCTCAGCCACCACTGGGAATTCTGGAAATTGAAGTCCAAAGTTCTTAAAGTTGTCAAGGTTGGACATCCCTGTTCTACAATCTGTTTTATCAAACTCTGTCTGGATTCCCAGGACTTGCAACACAAATATATATCTGGCAAGTCTTATAAGGAGAGGAATTCAAATTTCCTATGCTTCTAGGAAGCATCCCAGGTTCTGGATGGATTTAATAGTTTCTGCTGTCAGTGAAAAGTAGAGAAAACTGCACATACCTCTTAATTAGCTCAGGAAAGAAAGGTGGTCTTGACACATTTTGTGGTAAAAGGGGAGGGAACAAGATCTAGGGATTTGTGGTAGCATGGCTTGAAGAATGAAAAACAGCCCTGTTATGTTAGGGCACTCTTATTTCTTCACTAATGAGTCTTTTTTATTAACTGAATGGCTTATATAATTGAGCTATCGCAAATCACTACAATATTTGGCCATAGCAATATGGTTATAAACAAATGGATTCTGGGAGGCACAAAAAAACCCATATAAACAATTTTAAAAGCATTCAAAGGTACAAAAATGTAACATTATAAAAGGCTAAGAGAGATTATAAACAACAGAGACATTTAATCAAATTACCATTCCTTTACAATCCCCAAGCCTGGTGAAATAACCAAATTTTAAGGGATTTCCAGAAGCTCAGGAAAGATGAGGCTAATCTCACCTGAGGAGTGGTGATATTCCACAGGTGCCCTAACAGAAAGGGCTCATTTCCTGAGTCCAGTCATATGTAACTTCTTCACAGATGGGACCTCTATATACCTCTTCTGCAAGACCCAGTAGGACATGCACTTACAATCAGGAAGAGGAGGTTACTCAAATAATCCACCCATCCCATGAAGGACTTTAAGGGTGAAAATAGCACCCTGACTTGGAGCCAGCATAACCCCAGCTCACTCTGGAGTCCTCCTGACCTAGCATGGGTTGATCTCATAGGTCCGACCTCCTCACAGTAGATAGTGGCACTCAAGAAATCCATGGTAACCAAGGGGAACACTATGAGTTCCCATAATTTCAGATCACTTGCCATTGTTTGGATGAAAAAACGAGATCTGAGCCGTTGTCCCTGAGATAAGCCCTTGGTTGTCATTGTAGTTAAGAAGTCCTGAACTGTCTCTGACTTCAACATCAGAAAAAGCAGACTGAAACCCCCCCAGAACCATAAGTTTGGGAACTCTATCACCAGCCCAGCCCTGGAGTCCAGCAGCTCAGGCAGGGAAGTTGCTACACATCAGGGAAGCTGTTATAGCAGCAACAATCCCAACTTAATGAACAAGATCTCACATTCAGCACCTGTGAAGAAGCACCCTCAAAGCTTTAAGACGGGTCTTCAAACGTGGCCCTTTTATGACTTGTGTACTTCAACTCCCAGAATTCCTCAGCCAGCATGCCTGGCTGAGGAATTCTGGGAGTTGAAGTACACAAGTCATAAAAGGGCCATATTTGAAGACCCCTCTTTAAGAGACTCCAGGATGACAATTGCCATATGTCCACCCGTGCTCTGGACTTTCAACTGATGCTGCACCGAAACCAATTTAATTTAAATCCATTTAAAATAGAACAACCACTTAAGATGAAATGTATACCAGCAACTCAATGGATTGGAGGAGCTAGGGAACCACATGTTGGAAAACTGTGCAGAAATATAAAAATATCCACCTGAGTGTTTTTGAAGTCCCATAACCTTTTAAATATATAACAAAATGCAGCCTAACCAATCGAAGTAGGAACCTAAACGAAATTTAGAAGATGGTCTTAGGGCTTTCAGGGATCAGCTCATTTTGTGTTCAAAAGGGGCCTGGAAGCCACTGCTGCTTTACTGAAACAGCCATTTCCTCCCAAACTAGCATCTGGATTTTGACCCAGTTAATATTTCCAGAGCCATTCAAAGAAAACATCACAGATGCAGCCTAGTTCAATTGTAAACTGAGACTGGTGTTCTGATGGCCATACTTGATCTATCCTGAAGTAGATGCAATTTCTGAAAAGGTTGTCACCTAAGCATTCTGGGCTCAAGCATTCTGGTGTAAGCCAGATATTTTAAAAAGGGAGACGTCAGTCCATACCATATCATTTGAATTCCAGTTCTTTTCTTGAGCAAAAGTAATTAGAATAAACTTCAGTTTATTAGCTCTCATTCAGTGCACGACTCCTTTAAATCATAAACATGTCTGGAAAAAAAATCTGATCCATTCAAAAGCATTAAGATACATTTGAACACACATAATTTGCCTTCTAAGGCACTGAAAGACAAATTTTTCACATTTATGTTTACAATTAAACAAACATATTGAATTATTATAGCACAACACTGCCCCCTTGTGAGAAAGAGCTGACTTTCTAGGCTTTTCTAAAACTTCCCAAAATGCTACTTTGGCTGAAAAAGAATTAGCTAATGATAAAATTACATTTATTTAATATCAGCTTTCAATTCATTTAGTGATATATTAAACAAATATCTTTTGAGAATTTATAAAAATTAGTTTTAACCCAACTTTTTGGTTATTCTTAATTTGAAGGTCATTTGTTTTTTATCACTTTTTAAACACACTCTTCATTGTTACCCCTTATCAACAATCCTGCCAACACAAATGTACCCATTACAAGACTATCTTGGAAATGAATAACTGCATTTATAAAAGCTAATCAGTTCACCAGTCCGAAGAATCTGATTAACTCAGAATAGAAACAAATAATAAGTGAAACCAAACATTCCGCTTTAAGGATTTTTTTTAAGAAAAAATCAATAGTGTCAACGTCTCATTCTAACATTAAGAAACCCTTTAAAATATCTGAAATGGTAATATGGAATTACTAATAATGTTAGTAACAGATTTCTATAACCAGACAAAATAGATATTGTAAACAGAACTTCCTTTATAGTGTTCTGTGACGCTTTTTGCACATCAAAATGTTATATGACTATACTGTGCTCCCAGTATTAAGCAGTTTTCTTCTGGCAGCAGCTCAAAGTCTGGACCATAGCTGTAGACATGTAGATGGCTCTACTGTAGATGTATGGCATAATTCTTCAGAATCTTGAACCCTAATTTTTGCAAAGATCCTATGTGTCACAATACTGACTGGCAATGCTAGAACTTTCAAGCTCATACAGCAAGATAGCATGAAAGAAAGATAATATCTGGGGCTTTGTAAACAACCACAGAAAGATCAAGCACCCAATATCAGAATAATGAAACTCATCCAAGCTAGAGCATCTAGAAACATCACAGATTAGTTCCTGAAATGTTCAAGGAAAACAAGCTGTGAGTTGCTGGTATGGTAGACATTGTTAACTTTCATTGGCAACTGTAATACCCATTAACTAGTTCAGATAATAAAAGAGCTGTTTCTATGGACGGACTGAACTGTTAACTATTCCTTAAATATGCACACTGAATTCTCTCTCTTTCACTGTAGGTGCAATATAAGGTATAATATACTTGTGTATCCACTGAAATACAATACGCTTATTGAGCAGAGGAAACATAAATACAAAAAAAGATGCAAAGAAGTGGTTTCTGATCTTTACAGCAGTTATAAGTACAATTATAAATTTATTTCTTATACTATGGTTATAACATGACCCTCTTCTTTCTATAATTTATCCTATCTAATCATCAAGAACATCATACGTTTTTTCCTGTTTTACAAAAAAAGTTTATAATTTCTGATCAAAGAAATTAATGTAGCCATCTCAGCAAGTTCTATCATCTTCACCAACCATTCCTCCATTGTGGGTAATGCCAATTCTTTTCACCTTTATGCATACAGTAATTTTCCTACAGTCAAAAGTGATGTGGGTGACATCAGTTGTTCTAAAAGCTCCCTGATATGATCAATACATGTGACTTGTACTTTCTATAGCATAGGCAGTACAGGGGGATTGGACAAGGAGTGACTGTATATATAGATAAATTGTCCTTATCTTTTCAATACATAGTAAGCAGTGTTATGCTAACAGCCATTTGGTTTTCATTTTGAATGCTTCTGTTAGAAGTTTACAACCAGAAAGAAGTTGATTTTGCAAATAAGTATTTTCAATATTTTCACTTAAAAACAAGAGAATTGTTATAATTTACTGTTTTCTCTCTCAGTGAGAGGTAATATTCACAGAGGTAATAAGCAACCTGAAGTATATAAAAGACAATTTTTCAATAGGATTCTTCTACAAAGTGTTCACAACTGACCACTGTTGCCAATATTGTATAACAAAATCAGCAACTCAGTTCTGAATTAACAGTTTCCACTGTGCATTGCTTTAGTCATGAGTCCCTATAGGACTGGAAGCCGATTCTTCTTCTGTAGAAGGAAGAGAAGCTTCTGGATTCTGCTCAGCTTCTTCTCGCAACCTAACGATCTGAATGCTGTTTTCCTTCTTTGAGAGCCAGAAGGCTGGGTATAAAGGCTCATTAAACTTGCATTCAAAAGTATGTAAGAGACTCATTGAGTCAGTAGCGATGCCATAAAAGGAGAGTGCTTCCCTGGGGTAATCTAGGTAGATCCCTATTCTGCTAAATCCCTGAGATTTCAAAGGTGTCTCCACATCACCATGCCAAGCTGAGAAAACCTTGCCGTTCCACTTAATACACCAGGAGAAGTTATTCCCTGAGATGCAACTGTTGCTCTCCAAACCTTTCCTGTCAATGCTCTTATTTGTCATGCCAATGTAAATACCAGCTCCAAATATCTCAACTTCAAAGTAATAACGACCCATATACAAGCTTTGATCAGATAAGACTTGGCGCCAGTGTGCAAATCTTTCTGGATGATCTGGGTACGGGTGCTCCCAGGGTGTGGTGTTGGAGACCTTGTGGTTGTCGTCCAAAAGCCTCAAATAGCGATGAGCAGTAACTGGGTCAAATGTTAACAGGCAAGCATCTGCACAAAAAATAGATACATTTTTTTTAAAAAGCTAGAAATAAATAATTGAGCACTAAATATGATAGAACACCTAAAAGACCTAATTAGATTTTATAACAGGATTTAAGTCCAATATATATTTTGTCTTTAATGTATAGGACTTGGAAGAATCTCACTTTTTTTTTTTTTACCTTCGCCAAACAATATTTAGGCTGCAGCTCTGTCTGCTGGTTAAAAATGTTAAAATACACACAGTTAGTAGATTTTTTTTCCACTGGTTCAGAGGTGGAGACTTAGAGAACATTTTGGCTTGGTATGTAAAATCACTGTGGGTTTTTGCATTCCTGCTTGGAATAAATAAATAGCTTACTTAAGTAATAGTTCCCTATATTTCAGTACTGCAAAAAGGCAATATTCGATCATTAATAATGGATTAACTAATGGGTCACTAATGTGAGATCAATATTTATTTAGGTTTTTTTTAAAAAAGTTATTGATATAATTTTATTAACCATTCTACAAAGCATAGGAAAATTTTATTTCCTCCAAAACATTTCCCTAAATTTTTCATCCACCATTTATGCCAGAATACATAAAATGACAAAAAAAGGTCCTTGTCAGATTGGTGGGCAAATGTTTACTTGTAGCCTTTAATGGAAGGAGACTTGCTTTCAGAACAGCTTCCATGTGCCTTTTCCTATATAGATAAGGAACCTCACATCAAAATCACAGTTGTCCCTCTATGAGCTATCAAAGTATCATGAACAACACCATATTAGGCAGTGGTGGGATTCAAATATGTGAACAACCGGTTCTCTGTGTATATGCTGCTTCTGGAAGTCCATTCTGGGCCTGGTGTCAGTGCATCCGCTGTCGTCCGTCAGTAAGAGTAAAGGAACGCCGGTACACACTGAGCTCATCAACCGATTTATTGTGAAGACGAAACAAAGTCAGCACTGGGAGTGGTTTTCTCCCAGTGCTCTATAACAGTGTGCCACACCCCATGCTCCCGCCTCCAACCCCAAGCCGACATCCGCCCAAATCTAATATATGCCCCACCCTTCCCCTGCGCTCTCCCTTTCCCCGACGGAGCTCCACCCCCGCACCCCTCCGTCCATGTGTCCGGTCCGCGCGTTTCTCTCCTGCCGCCATGCTCTCCCTGCCTACTGGCCCGCCTGTCTGGTAAGTATTCCCCACCCTCAGCCCATGCTGGATTCGCCGGCAGGGGCTTGGCGTCCGGGAAAATCCCCTCGCTTCGGTCCTTCCGCGTTGACGCGCCGGCGTTCGCCCGGCCTGCCGGCCCCAGCTGGTCGTCGGGGAATCCCGGCCTTGCCGGCATCAGCTGATCTTCGGGGGATTCCGGGTTTGCGCGCGGACCGGTGCCCGTCTGCGCCTGCGCGTCGACGCGAGGAAGCAGGTCTGGTGTGAAGCCCCGTTCGGCTCGGGCTTCAGCTGCGGCAGCGTGCGGTTCGGCGGTTCTCGAGAGTGGTGGGCTGTCATCTGCTTCCCCCCATCCCCGTGTGCATGTCAAGCCTCCAGGAGCTTCCTAAGGAGGCGGGTAATCGTAACGGGACTGTGGCCGGGTTGATTATTTTAGTTATTTGAAAAGGACCTACATATTTCGGACCCAATTTCCTGCATGGCACCTGTAATCGAAGATACTTGGTGGCTAAATACATCCAGTCCCCCACCTTGAACGGTTTGTGCGCTGCCCTTTTTTTATCCGCTTGGGTTTTGACAGCTGCCTCGGCCTTCTTCCGTGCTGCTTTAACCCGTTCCCATAACCCTGTTACCTGGGAATACCATGTCTGGGGAGTCCGTTCACTATCTGCCTCTGGCGACCATTCGGGAATGGGGTTAAACTCCACTCCATACACTATCTTGAACGGGGTATATCCAGTAATGTTGTGGACGGTATTATTATAGGCCACCTCGGCAAATGGTAGGAGGTCCACCCAGTCCGTTTGCTGAAATGACACATAACTCCGAAGATATCGTTCTACCATTGCATTTGCTCTCTCTGCCGCCCCGTTGGTGCTGGGATGATACGCTGAGCTTAGGCCTTGGGATGAGCCCAGCGTACAAACGAACTCTCTCCAGAACCGTGCAGTAAATTGCACCCCTCTATCTGATATAGTTCTCTTGGGTGTGCCATGGAGCCGATAGATGTGTTGGATGAATAGTCGTGACAATCGCCGCGCCGATGGTAGCCCCCTACATGGAACAAAATGTGCCTGTTTCGAGAACAGATCCACCACTGTCCAGATCACATTATAACCCCGGTTTTCGGGCAGCTCTACGATGAAATCCATGGCGATCTCCTCCCAGGGCCGAGATGGGTTGGCCACTGTCTGTAATAGTCCCATGGGCTTCCCAATCCGGGGTTTAGCACTGGCACACACATGGCACTCTCTGACGTATTGTTCCACATCCACTTTTAGTCTGGGCCACCAAAACTGTCGCCGTAGCAAATGTAAGGTTTTTAAAAACCCGAAATGGCCCGCCTGCTTGGCATCATGGCATCTCTGAAGGACAGATTTACGCAGATTATCAGGCACATACATCTTATCACCTTTCCAGGCCACGCCATCGCGAATGGTCAGCCACCCTGGATGCTCGTTTGCCCACTTATCCGTCAACATGGCGGTCCTAATGGTGTCTAACTCATCTGTTTGAGATTTGTGAACTGCGCTGTTGGTCATCTCCTGCCGCGTAAAGGGCATCAGCGCCTGTACGACCTCTTCCCGTTTGCTATGATACTGTGGCATCCGCGACAACGCGTCAGCCAGAAAGTTTTTTCCTCCTGGCACATACCTCAGCACAAACCTGAATCGGCTAAAGTATTGGGCCCATCGGACATGTTTGGGGGCCAAGCGCCTCGGGGACTGTAGTGCCTCCAGGTTCTTGTGGTCTGTCCACACCTCAAATGGTAACTCGGCCCCTTCTAAAAGATGTCGCCATGTCGTCAAAGCCCATCGGACTGCAAAGGCCTCCTTCTCCCAGATGGCCCAGCTTCGTTCGGCCGTTGTAAATTTTCTGGAGGTATAGGCACAGGGCTGTAATGTCCCGCTTTCATTCTTCTGCAGCAGCACCGCCCCCACGGCCACATCGCTGGCGTCGACCTGCACCACAAACGGGACATCCGGATCTGGGTGGCGCAGCACAGGCTCTTTAGCGAACAACGCTTTCAAAGTCTCGAATGCCCTTTGGCAGTCCATGGTCCACTCCAATGGCTGACTCGGGCGGGGTTTTCCCGTAAGATGTTTCGTCCGTAAGAGCTCTGTGAGGGGTTGAACCACGGCGGCAAATGATGGAATAAATTGGCGGTAAAAGTTCGCGAATCCGAGGAAACTTTGTATCTGGCGCCTGGTCTTGGGGGCTTGCCAGTCCAGTACCGCCTGCACCTTACTCGGATCCATTTCCACCCCGTTCCCCGAAATACGATAACCCAGGTAATATAGTCGCTCTCGGTGAAATTCGCATTTCGATAATTTCACATAAAGTTGGGCATCGAGAAGTTTCCGGAGCACCTGTCTAACAAGACTGATATGTTCATCCCTCATTGTGGTATATATTAAAATATCATCCAGGTACACAAGGACCCCTCGGTATAGGTGGTCATGCAACACCTGATTAATTAACTGCATGAACACCGCAGGGGCCCCTTGCAATCCGAATGGCATGACCCGAAACTGGAAACTGCCTAACGGGCAATTAAATGCCGTCTTCCACTCATCGCCGGCTTTAATCCGTACCCTATAGTATGCTTCTCGGAGGTCTAGTTTGGTGAATATGCGGCCCTTTCCTAAATGTGCCAGTAAGTCCTTCATGAGAGGGAGAGGGTATAAATGTTCGACGCACACTGCGTTTAACCCCCGGAAATCGACACACAGACGCAATGATCCGTCCTTCTTTTCCTTGAATAACACGGGAGCCGCTATCCGAAAATGGGCTGGTTGGATAAACCCCCGTGCTAAATTCTGGTCAATATATCTACGGAGCTCTTGTACTTCTGTCGATGTCATAGCGTACATCCGTGGTTTTGGGAGCTTAACCCCCGGCAACAGTTCAATAGCGCAGTCTGTCGGCCGGTGAGGGGGCAGTTGATCGCAACCTTGCTCGCTGAAGACTTCTGCCAAATCCCTGTATTCCTTGGGGTATGAAAGTCCCCCCTCCTTCTCCTGGAGTTGTGCTGCTACCCCTGGGACTACTGGGACCTGATCTACCCCTGGGACTACTGGGACCTGATCCCCAGTATCACTCTCCACTGGATTTGGGCCTACCCCAAGGCGCACCTTACGGTAACCCCCCTCCCACCATATAGTGGGGGTCCATTTATCTAACCAAGCCAACCCCAGTATGACAGTCTCCATCATAATAGGCACCACGATGAAGCGTAGCACCTCCCAGTGGTCTCCCAAGTCCATGCGTACCTGTTCGGTAACGTGAGTCGTGGGGACCCCTCCCAAAAGCGACCCATCCACTTGCTCAAACCGGATGGGTTGTGTTAACCTATATATCCGGAAACCACTATCCACTGCGACTTTCCTACTGATCAGACATCGTGTGCACCCGGTGTCTACTAAAGCCTGACATGCCCTCTGTACCCCCGTTACCGGACTCGTTAGGACTATGGGTAGAACAAATGGTCTAATGGGTTCACTTACCATTGGATCGGCGGACCCGTCGTCCGGACTGTCTTCATCATCCCCCGGTTGGTAGCGTGCCGCTGCTGCAGGCTCTGGGGTGGCCGGGGACCCCCTTCTCACTCCTGGGGTTCCTTGCTGGGTGGCGGCTCTCGAACTCTCCGCGGCCGTCTTCATGGGGGTAGCCCTACCACTCGTTGTGGGCTTACGTGGGCTAGGCGCTGGGCACTCAGCTGCTCGGTGGCCCGGCTGGTTGCAGCGGAAACACCGAAATACAGCCTCCCCAGGTGCACCGGATGACTTGGATGTTGCCCGTAGCGGCACCTGGCCTCCCTCTCGCTGCTTTTCTTCAGGACGCCGTGGCCTCAAGATATCCCCCAATCCTCGATGTACCTCTTTGAGGCCTACCTCTAGCTCGACCACGACCTTGAACCAGTCCCGGAGTCTGTTCGGAACTCCCCTGTACACACAAGCCTGACATAGGTCGTGGTCCAGGCCAGCCCGGAAATGATGCACCAGCAATCGCTCTGGCCATGAAGAATACAATCGACCGGCTAACTTACGGAAGTCCCGCACATATTCGATGACTGGGCGCTTCCCCTGCTGTAGTGCAAGGAGGTCTGCCTCTGCTCTCTGCGCTCGGGTAGGATCTTCAAATCTCACATGCAAAGCGTCCAAAAACAGCCCCGCACTCCCCAATTCACGGGCGTGGTCGCTATACAGGTCGGCTGCCCGTGCAGCCACCTCTCCCCGCAGAGCCGCGGTAACTGCGCCAACCATGGCCCATTGGGAGGCATATAATTGGGCATATTGATCTAAGTGGCTTATGGCTTGGCCCAAGAACATTGCCAGGTGATCAGGGTTGCCGTCAAACGTGACAGGAATGGGAGGGGCCCCCCATGAACTCCCTGGACCCCATGGTCCCAGGGGTTGGCCTGGCATGGTGTTAGCATATCCGGGCGCAGACCCCAGCTGTTCCACACCCCCTCTCACTACAGGACCTCTAGCCACCTTTCTGGGACCAACCTGCTGGGTTGGTTGTGGCGGACCCGGCGGGCCGCCTGACGGGAGGCCCGTGACAGCCGACCCACCTGCTGGAGGCGGCAACCGCAGCCTTGGACTGCTCAAGCGAAACCTGGATGACAGGGTGCGTGCCGTAGAGTCTTCTTCCGATTGCCACATGTTGGCACCACCCCTGTAGCTTGCCTCGCCAAACCGGTGTCGCAAAATATCCATTCGTATCTTGACCCGGAGCCGTGGAGTAGCCCCAGTCTTCATCGTCCTCGGAGGTGACACACCTCTCCCTCCACCCTGAGTGAACGGGCTTCGGCTTGGGTGTCAGAAGCTGCCCGGTCTGCACCCCAGCCACCGCTGGGCTTTGCCACCACTCCTCTTGTGGCCTGGCAGCCCCTGTCTCATCCACACCGGGCCCTGGGTTTGTGGCCAGCAACAGCTTTGGCCGCACCACAGGCTGCTCAGCTGCTTGTTCCAGCTCCGGAACGGCCTCACCGGCACCGCCAGCCTCCACCTCCCCCTCGACCAGGGAAACGCCCTGCGTGCCTTCTGCCATACCTCACTCCTCCGCAGCAAGTAATAGGTTGAAGGAAGAAAAGGAGTGCTGACTTCCTGTCAGTGCATCCGCTGTCGTCCGTCAGTAAGAGTAAAGGAACGCCGGTACACACTGAGCTCATCAACCGATTTATTGTGAAGACGAAACAAAGTGAGCACTGGGAGTGGTTTTCTCCCAGTGCTCTATAACAGTGTGCCACACCCCGTGCTCCCGCCCCCAACCCCAAGCCGACATCCACCCAAATCTAATATATGCCCCACCCTTCCCCTGCGCTCTCCCTTTCCCCGACGGAGCTCCACCCCCGCACCCCTCCGTCCGTGTGTCCGGTCCGCGCGTTCCTCTCCCGCCGCCATGCTCTCCCTGCCTACTGGCCCGCCTGTCTGGTAAGTATTCCCCACCCTCAGCCCATGCTGGATTCGCCGGCAGGGGCTTGGCGTCCGGGAAAATCCCCTCGCTTCAGTCCTTCCGCGTTGACGCGCCGGCGTTCGCCCGGCCTGCCGGCCCCAGCTGGTCGTCAGGGAATCCCGGCCTTGCCGGCATCAGCTGATCTTCGGGGGATTCCGGGTTTGCGCGCGGACCGGTGCCCGTCTGCGCCTGCGCGTCGATGCGAGGAAGCAGGTCTGGTGTGAAGCCCCGTTCGGCTCGGGCTTCAGCTGCGGCAGCGTGCGGTTCGGCGGTTCTCGAGAGTGGTGGGCTGTCATCTGCTTCCCCCCGTCCCCATGTGCATGTCAAGCCTCCAGGAGCTTGACACCTGGGCCAGAACTCAACAAAAAATTAGCTACCAGTTCTGCCGAACAGGTGCAAACTGGCTGAATCCCACCACTGATGTCAGGGTATAAAGATCCTAAGATCCATTTTGCTGCAGTTATCATATACAAAAATTTAGTTCCATTACTTTTTGCCAATTGTCTATTAACACCAAAAGAAAAATCTCTGGTCTCAGTTGCATGTTTATCTTTAAAATCTGAATCACCATGTGTATTTGAATCTAGAATTTTCTAGCTTATTTATACATCATCCAAGTATTACAAAATGTCATTCTTGTTGTCCAGCATAAATTTGAAGTTCCTTTATAGATTCTAGATAATTTCTCTGGCGATATAAACCAATGGAGCATTATTTTGTAAACATTCTCTTTAAGATTTTAAGATAATATAGATTTCTATTCTTTCACCCAGATAGTTTCCCATTGTTCTCTCTGTAAATAGCCGATTTTATCATATATTCTTTCACTTGTTCTTATGTTTCAAATTTCAATATTTATATGTTTATATTTTTATATATATATATAAACGATTATTTGTATATACAGTATTTATAATATATTACATATTTTATAATATAAAAATATGTATTTTAGCAATTAATGTTTATATATCTCCCCTATCTTACATCCACTCCTTCCTATGCTTTTTGTTAATTTTTTCCTTTTTAGTTCAAAAAAATGTTGACTCATCAGGTGGAATTCTCTTATCCTGTCATTCAGTAAATCTCTCTTTAGCCATAAATGATTTATATTTAAAACTGCTTAAGAAAATGAGGCTTGTATGAACCTTGTATCATATATAGACGGCATCACAGCAGTGAGCTTGAACTTGATTAAAATCCTTTGACCCATTCTACTCATGAGTCGACCACAAAAAACTCAGTTCCTGCAGTCTATTTACAAGAACTGCTCAGACTGCAAGTGGGCAATCTCATGTCTCTCCTTTATCCAGAAAGACAGCACCTGCCAGAATTCACCACTGCACTGCTGATCCTATTCCTTCAGTGATTTCTAGCCTGCCACAGATTCTCCAATGGAAGCCCCATTTACACATGAAATGTCAAGGACAAATGTACATCCTCAAATTAGCCATCTGATGTTTCAGAAGGAACATAGACCTTTCCAGAACATGTTTAATCATCAAGCATATTTTTAACTAAATCATGTCTACATATCCATATATCAGTTAGGCCATCTTCCATACTCACTACAATAACTGGTTATATACCAACAAGCAGAGGATGTAGGGAAGGCTTTGAAGAAATTGTGTCAAGACTTCAGAGGATGTGACTGCTTTAACTGTTTGAGGAGGAATGCTTTGATTGCACCAATACACTTTGTGACATATTCCTTTCAAATAATTTGCACAGCCTCTTTAGCTTGTGTTTTCTGCTTATAATAATGATTATGTTTGATATACAGTATCAGAGTGAGGTGATTTATCAAAATAATTGCAGTAAATAAAACTTGAAAGGGAATTGATCAAAATGAATCAGTGGCTGCTCTTCATAAAAACTATTTATTGTTCACTATTCAGCATGCCCCTGAATTTCCTGAGAAGGCATATAATTGCACAGATCTCCTATTTGTCAGCTTCCTGTAGACTTCTTTAGATAAGCCAATGTTGTTGGTCTGATTCTGCAAAGCTTTCTTAATTCTTTCAAGTGTTGCATCAAAAATCGGCCAATAACTTACACTTTAAGAAGTCACTCCTACTTTGGGGTTCTGGAGCTGACAGGCGATGTTTGGATGGAACAATTGCAGCCACTGTTGTTTTTATCCCAGAATTTTCTATATAGATGGAAGGAAGGAAGGAAATAATTATTTTGTATCACTAAGAATTAAAAGAATTGTCAGGATCAAAACTGTTAATAAGTGAACAGCCTTAAAATTGATCAAAATGAATAAACATGTAAATTAAAAATGGATGGATGGATGGATGGATGGATGGGTACTCACCATCATTGGCAAACCTCTGCAATTTTTCTTTATAAGAAGTTTGTAGTAATTGTAAAAGCTGTTCAGTGGATTCAGAGATCACATTTCGGATTCCTGATAATTTGTCTTTCAGGCCAATATACACACTGGGCAATGCATCATCTCCCAGATGCTTCTTGAATTCACAGTATTCCTAAATATGCACAGATATATAAAAGAGATAAGAACACTGCTTAGACAGTGCTAGGAGGAAGGGCTAGGAGAAAAAATCCTGTGCATTGTGATATGATGTAACCCCCCTTTTCACATTTGCATTTCAACATCAAATGAACATATTTAAATCAAGAGGTTTGGTTCATGATATCACACCATGTTGTATCACTCTTCTGCTCTCTTACCCACACCTTGCAGAAGCCTATGAAGTTAAACTGTGGAAATTAAAAAAAACAAAAAAATCAGAGGATTTGTTGCTCACTCAAATATACAGACTAGCATTCTCTGCTTTCTCTTAAGACTGAACATTAGCCAGATTCAGAGCAGCAGCTATGTTTCAGGTGAACACCAATAACAGATCATATCAATACAAGATAGTTAGTGAAAAGGCAAAGAATAAATTCATGTAAAACAACCTTTCCACATGATGTACATGTCAGATCCATCGGGTTTCAACTCCCGTAGCTTTCAGTGAGAGAACTTTAACGGTTGAAACCCACAATTTTCAAAAAAAGCAAACAGTTGCTGAAGGCTGATTTAAACATTTTTACTATCGCCATTTAAGGTACCTTTAGGAAGACAATATCATTAGTGTGGGTGGCCATCTTCTCCAATCTTTTCCTGCATTCCTCCATTGTCGCTTGCTGATTCTGAAGGTGGATCTTTATTCCATTTGCATGATTAACTGCAGCACACTCTTTCTCCTCCAGAAAAGTGAGCACAGTGGCATGGGTTGCCTTGACAGCTTGCAGCAGCTCGTCAAACTTCTCTTCCACGAAGTTTTTCACTTCAGATACTGAATTCTGCAAGAACAGAAACCATCGTCATTGCAAAGTCTTAAAGCTGATCTGTTTGACATTTTAAATTGACCATGCAGTAATAAACTGTGCAGCTGTATCCATAACCATGCAGTCCTTCCAGTCATGTTCCACTCAAAATGTTCTTTAAATGCATAAGATAGGCAGACAAGGAAAAAAATGAGTCACATTCAAGAATAAATTATTCTATGTAAACCCAGCAGCCATTTCCCAAGTATTCACTTACTATTATGCATGCCATCATTACAGTATGTCAATTCACTTATAACATCCCACCCAATGAGAATGAAAACTACTATTATTCTAATAGTGTCTTATGTTTGGGGTTATTATAAAGAATAACTCATCAAATGCTAACTTGTTGTAGCAGGCATAGAGAACTTTCAGCCCATGGCTGTAATAAAACCCCCTGGAGGTTCTCCATCATATCTGCCAAATTAAAATATCTCATAGTTCTTTTAAATTACAAAGTAATCACTCTCGATGATCTTTGTATTAAAGAAAGAAGCTTATTCAGTGACTGAAAAGCACCAGAGGCAGTAAATAGTGGGAAAGATTTCCATCCCTGAAGCCCTGATCCCTGACATCCTCCAGCATCTCAGAAAGTAGCAAGAAATTCAGCCTTTGAATGGGATGGAATGGACTGGTTTCCCTAGTCACGTATCTCTGAACTCTAGTAATAGGGTGGAGAACTATGGCCCTTTTATGACTTCTAGACTTCAACCCCCAGAATTCCTGTTGAATTCTGGGAGCTGATGTCCACAGGTCATAAAGAGGCTATGGTTCCCCACCTCTCCTCTAGAGCCTGTAAAGGACACTGTGGAATATATTTTATCATTTGTTATGTTTACCAGTCAGGCACACAGGATTTAGAGGTTCTATACAGTGGAATTATGAGGGAACAAAAAATGTTTGCAGCTGCAACTACGAAGCAATTATAACCTGGCAGGAAGGATGGTCAGGGTTTGTAGGCCCAGAGAGTTTTTGGAAGGGTGAAACTTCAGCTTTTCATTTGTTTGCTGTTAAATGTCTCACAAATGACAATAAAATAGGATATTTGGTTCAGATTTTAGAAAACTGAAGTTTGGTACTTGCGATTGGCTAATCCTGGAAATCCACAGAAGTTGCTATTGTGTTTGCCTTTTTAGAAGATTGGGATTAAGTTGCAGATTTCTGAAGGGATCAAATATTTCCTCAAATGCTGATTTCTTTTTTCAAAGAAAGCTATTATAACTTTTCTATTTTTCATTACAGTTAGGTGACATTAGATGATGACTGCATGAAGGATTGTGCAATCTATGAGATAAACCTTACCAAATTGCATAAACATCAACGTTGCTCAAGAGGAGTCTTTATAGATTTGGAGGTGAAAGGTTTACTCATTCCTCACTTCACTGGGAGGAATTTAATGGGAAATTCCAGTAAAAACTGCAGATATTGTATAGATGACTCTTGTAAAGAAATTAGTCCAACTCAAGGGTAACTATAAAATCCTTCTGCTAAATGTCATTAATGTTGACTTTAGAGTGTAAAGTATGAAAGTAGCCTTTAATGTTCCTTCCAGCAAAATTAAATACAAGTTTTTAAAATAAGAAACGTGTAAAAATTATAAAGGAGCATAAAGAAGAGAAAAGAATGACATATAAATCAGTTTCCTTTCTGGAAAGCACTGTGACTTTGAGAGTCAATAGTCACTCTTAAATTAATTTAACAAGGGACAGTCCAAAGAACATCTATATACTAAGGATGATTAGAGGAAATCTTCAAATGATTTAATAACACACACAACCCCCCAAAAAAAACTTACACAAAGTTTATGTTTACTATTTTTATTACCCATTTGAAAGTTTGGGAGTTGCTAGCCTTTAAGAATTAATTCAGATCATTCAGGTAGTATGTTTAATCAGTTTACATGCTGATCTTTAAATAGATTTAGCTTTCTTTGCTAGTAGCTACATAAAACTCTAAAAAATGACCACACAAAAATAAGGAAAAATGAAGGGAGTCACTGAATTGACCATTCTCAACCAGCCAAGAGCTATATTTTGCACACATGGGCCTAGTGTTCTCAACAGAAGGAGACACAGCACAGTATAGTAACTGAAACATTCCTGATACATTTTCTTTTTTAAGTGTTCAAGAAATAACTGAGTGGTGCTTAAATATAGTCTACTTTTCTATAAGGAAATATTTGAATAATGTCCCCCATCCTCATCAGGTTTCCTAGGGAAGTCAACAGAGGCCTGCCAAGACCACCAACACTAATGTCTGATCCAAGGCTGTCACATAAACCTGAATGCCAGCACTGTGATTTCCAAAATTGCCTTGGAGAGTGTCATGCCCTAGAATTGTCCCGCCAAAGTTAGTTCTTTAGTTGCTTTCACCATTTAGACAGATCTTGCAAGACTAAATCTATACCATTCTAACCCTAATGAATATACCCTGGAAGATTCTAGGGAATGGCTGTCCTAAATCTCTGCCTCTGATCCAAGCTGTGTTGTAATCTTGCCTCAACCCCCTCCTTGGAATGTGTTCCTCCTTCCTGGGAAACTGACACTTCACTGTAAACCATCACATCACCTGCCCCTGTGTCATCACAATCCATCACAGAGATATATTATCAGGTACTGAAGGGAATAACTATACCCTCTCCCATAAGCCTTGGAAGATAGCCTACCATTATGACTGCTGTCAGGTACATACTGGTGCAGCATCTATAACCTTCAAACTAGTTCATATCCAATCTATTTGTGGAACAACTGGATCTATTAAGAAGCAGCCTGTCTGCAAGCATATATTTTGCAAAGCAATTAGCATATGGAAGACTTACTAGAACACAGAAGTCATTTCTATCGTCGCCAAGGGCTGAATCTTAAATAAATAGAGATCTCTATTTTAATTCTTACCACTATAGACTCTGAGTTCTTCTGCAATTTAACAATTGCGTTTTCAGATGACTTCATTTTCCAATCATATTCTTCTTGAAGATGAAGAAGTTCACACTATTGAAAGATAAACCAGGTATTTTACATGGAGACAAGTCATATAACAGCTGCTGAAATTCATGCATGAATTCATTTTTGTTCATGAACATTCAGACTGAAAGCTGCTTCTATATTGAGCCAGACAAGTTAAGTAAAGTGATGTAGACAAGGTTGGGGTGTGGTTGGTCTGTAAGAAAAGTCATTCATGTTAGTCATTCTGAATGAGATTGTACTTCCTTAAAACCTGTCCAGAATCCAGCTGAATTGAGGTGGAGTATAAATTAATTCAACTAGAATTAATTTGATGCAATCAAAAGCTTACAATTTGATGATATTCCCTGGTCAAGCATTGCTACTGGATTATTTAATTAATATATTATTGCAATCATATTATCTGATCAATACCATGAAGCACTTGTCAAAATCAAAGGATTGTCATCCAAACCACCAATTAGAAAACAGGAACTAACATATATGGGTTGTTTAAAACTAAACCATCAACAGTAGGTGAAAAATAAGCCACTACAACCAATTTTATATTAAAACAATTGAAATCCTTTGCAACCAAATATAAAGTTGACATTCTTTTTATACTAAATTTTCTTTATGCAACTGCATATGTTACTACTTAGCTGAATTAAAAAATATTCTATATCTGATAAAAGAAGCAAATTATATAAACTACAGCTTTAGAGGGTTAAAAATATTTACATGTATTTATATGTAAGGGTGTAGCTGTATATATATATATATATATATATATATATATATATATATATATATATATATATATATATATATATATTCATTCTGTAATTACGTTAAAAATTCGAATCCTGGGTAAAACCATGCAGTAAAAACAAATAAATGCAAATACCAGGATAATATCAAACTAAAAATCGGTTAATAAAATGCATTTTATTAAACAATTTTTAGTTTGATATTATCCTGGTGTTCACATTTATTTGTTTTTACTGTATGTATGTATGTATGTATGTATGTATGTATGTATGTATGTATGTAGGTCTTTGGTTATTCGGATTTTCTCCTACGTCAAATTGGAGGTTCTTGGCGACGTTTCGACGAAGTCTCATTCGTCATCTTCAGGCTGGTGTTTTCGTCTTCGTGCTTCTAGGAGCAATGTGTGATTGTAGCTGTTTCTTCCTTTCAACTGCCAGTGGGGGTATGAACTGATTAGATGAGAGCTTGGCTATGTTCTGATTGGATGGAGGTGTGTTCTGATTGGTTAGGAGCTTGGCTGTGCTCTGATTAGAGCATATATGTATATGTGTGTATATATATGTGTGTGTGTGTATGTATGTGTGTGTGTCCTGGTGTTCGTATTTTATTTGTACCATATATATATATATATATATGTGGTACAAATAAAATACGAACACCAGGAGAGTATAAATATAAAAATATACTTTACTAAAAGCTACCAAGCTTTCGTTTGGAAACTCCAAACATCATCAGGGCTAAGGAGCCAGTAAACAATGATGACTTAAATGGGTTTTGCCGGCATCTGCACCCGGCTCATGGACCGCATCACCAGTCCCGGCTGGTTAATTAGTGTTCCAGATGTTTCTTTATTACTCTCCTTGTGCTTCCTTCTATGGTTCTTCCGCATCATTCCTTCCACTATCTCATTACTGACATTCATCTCCTCCACTACCCCTTTATCCTTATTTCCTTCCATAGTACTGACCCTCATCCCCTTTTTGTTTTCATTTTCCACCCTGGGGGTATCCGTTTCTCCTCTGAGTGTTACAAGCTTCCCTGGGCTCACAGACGCTCCCCCCCACACACGCTTTTCTCAATCCCTGCTCCACACCCTTTCTTCTCACTCCTCCACTGTCATGAGTAACTTTCATACGGGTGTTGCATATTTGGGGGTCTATGCCCTCCTCCTCCGTCCTGGCAATCTTCGTGTCGACAGTTCTCCACCATTCCATTTGTTTGCTACGTGATCGGGTGCTTACTCCGCCTCTCAATTCATCATCCCCCCTCCTCCCTATCGCACGCTCTTCCCCATTGCTGATAGGAACGGCATTCAGGCAGACACCAGATCTCCAAATCTCTGCATTCTGATTCCCTGCGTTCTCACTCTCCTCTCCTTTGCTCATCTTTGGGGGGACTTCAAAGTGTTCATTCCGGGGGGGAGGCTGGATCGTTGGTGGGGGTATTCCTTGTCTCCAGAGAGTCTAGGCAGAACACCGTGTCTCTCCCTTTCACCGTATGCCTAGGCAATTGAGCTGTGCTTTCGTTCTTCTTCTCCTCCCCTTTTTTCTTTTGATCTCCGTCGACGTTCCCCACAGTGACGGGCTGCAAATTCCTCATGCTGGATCTTCCACACTCTCCACAGTTGTTGTTAAGTTCCAGGGGTGGGGGTCTATCGTGGTGATATTGGAGAAGGGGGAGGTCTTCCATCGGTGGATGATTATGTGTGTTTGACAATGGTGGCCTCCTCAGACATTCATTAGAGCGGTATTGGTGTTGATCGGGCGAAACAGGGGTGCCCCTGGAGTGTCAAGGGTTAGCCAAAGTTCCATCTATCTGTTCAGGATGGAGGCCAGGTATCACGTCACATTTACAGCTATACAAGCATTGTTCAGACCGCTTATAATGATTGGCATAAAATCCCATTTCCTCAATGCTTGTTGTGCTGGATGTAAGTCAATGTGACGATTAACCGTGTCTTTGTTGGAATACCACGCCTCTTTCAATAGCCGGCCTCCCTTAGTGGCATCCTCAGACATAACACGAACATTCACAAAGTCAAATTAGTGGCGATGTTGTGCCATATGCATCCACAATTGAGAATGCTGTTCGCCCCTTCTTATAGCTAACTGATGTTCATGCAGGCGAGATCTTAAATGCTTAGCTGTTTCACCAACATAATTGCCATCGCAGTTCTTGCAATTGATTTTATAGATTACTGCTGATCTATCCATGGCAGGGAGTGGGTCCTTGGGGCGAACGACTTTGGACCGTAATGTCTGATTGGGTCTGTGGGCCACTTCTATTCCATGGGGGGCCAGCAGTCTGGCTGTTGCTTCCGAGACGTTATTAATATATGGCAAAGAGACACGCATTTTTTGTAATAATGGTTCCTCTCTCTTTTGGTTGTTCCGGGACTGGAGTGTAAGACCGTACTGTCTGATAAACCTCAGAGGATGTGTGTGTGTGTGTGTGTGTTGTATATAGCATGTTTATATATGTTATGTATGTGTACACTTTTGAGAGCAAGCAACAGAATTTCATTTTTAATGTGTGCCAGTGCCGACAGTAAAAAATGACAATAAAATATGTCTTGTCTTGTCTTGTCCTGTCCTGTCCTGTCCTGTCTCATCTCATCTCATCTCATCTTATTTTATCTTATCTTATCACATACATAGATGTATCATAAAGTGGTTGGTACTTTCTAATATCCTCTATCCAGACACATTAATGGCATAAATTAGAAAGTGAGTTCTGTAAACTCTTGCCTTAAAGGGGACTTGAGACACAGAGACAATTAGACATTCCAATGATCTAAATAGAAATGAGTAATAATGTCCAAAATAAACTATGAAAATATCCAAGCAGTAATTAGAGGCTGGGAAAAGATTAAAAGGAAGGGATGAAACAGAGAATGACCAGCAGAATGCCCCTTTTATTCCTTTTTTGCCATTTAATTTTTTTTGTCAAATTCCTTTAAGTATTTGTGTGCATATTCTTTTTTTCTTTTTGCCTTCTTTTGCTTGTACGTTTTACTTAAATGAATAAAAGAGACATTTAAAAAATCCCAAATATCAACAGATTTTCGGGTCAAATCCTTTTAAATAAGAAACAGTAGTTCAGAAATAATTATCATGATTTATGTTGTCGGAGATGCAGTGAAACGAATGGTTGATTTAAATATATTGTTCCATTTCAGTAAGAGGCAATTACATGTATTAACTCAGTCTTGAGATTTATCTTGGGAGGTGACTTTTGGACAGAGAAAATGAACACATAATCAAAAGACTTATTGTTCAACCTTGGAAACACAAACATATGGCTCCAACTATTTAGTGCCTTGCAGAATTGATTAACATACATCAACCATGAATGACTGTAATGAATCACAGTTTCAATTTATTAATAAATATATGCTGTAAATATACATTTTGTGTGTTCTTTTTCAGGTTTTTCTCTTCTATACTTTTGTGTAATTTTCTTTTTCTTATATTTAGCTTATTAAAAAGAAAAAAAAGATATTTCTCTGTGCAATTTAATCAGACCAAACCATGCAGAAAAGTCCGAAATAAAGATTGTGTTCTAGTCCTTATAATTGTCCATTGAGGATAACTAAATTCTATAACTTGGAATTATACATGTTTCACAAATAGGTAATATAGTTAAAATGCCATAAACAGGACTGGACCCATCCTTCTCCTTCAAAACATTTCCGTAAACACTGACTGAAGGAAAATCTAAAATATTGACTAACCCTACAAAATGGATTTTACTCACTTCCTCTTATGGTGATCACGTTAGCTTTCTATCATTTCCAGCAAGGCAGTGAAGATTATCAATGGAAGAGCCCAAAGAGTTTTATACATTGATTATTATCCCATTTGCAAGATTTCCAGTTTTCCATTCCCCATATTTCCCTTCATATAGCAATTGGGGAATAACTTTTCTACAGATAATATTTATTTGTTGAATGATCAAAAGAAAAAGAAAGAACATTGATCTCATTGTTCTCTATATAGCATTTATGATACACAAATTCCAAATCAATGTTTGAGAAAAATGTATAAATAAAGGTATTGCCATCCCAAAATCCTGTATTAATAAATATTATTACAGGAATTTTCCCATTTGAACAGTTAAAGAGCAAACAAAGTTGTTTTAAGATCCCTAAAAGCTTAAGGCACCCAGCCTCTTAACTCCCCAAAATTCAACTGAAAAAAAATTACTTATCTGGAGAATGTCACTAGACATATCTCCTACCATCATTGCAAGTCAGTTCTTCAACATCTTCATCAACG